GGTCTGGCTTCCTTCAGAGCATCACAGTGGGCTGACCCTTGTATGGTTGTTCACTTGTACAAGGCTGGGGCTGGAACCAGATGGTTCTTCTGGGCAGATATTTTCTTTGTTGTTAACAAGACACCTTATCCTTCTCAGCGTGGCTGTCAGCTGGAGACCCACAATTACACAGGGACTCTCAACACAGGGCTCACAGCCACCACTGCTGCAGGCAGGGCTGTGTACAGGCTGCTTCTTGTTTACCCTGGCTCACCTAGACTTGGGGGCAGCATAGGCTCAATGATTTGGGTGATGCTTGCAGAAGTGCTGAACCAGGGGTAACCAGGACCGAGAGCACTACTTTGAGCAATTGTTTCAGCCAAGCAGCAAGTGGGGGAAAACCCTGCAAGTTCCATTTGGTCCACATGCTGGTTTGTTTATGGTTTGGGAAAGGCACAGCCACGGCAGGGGGACTGCTGCCCAGGAGGGAGCCAGCTGCCCAGGCCAGTCTGTGGCACCATGGGTGATGCTTGTAATAAGCCCACGGTGTTACCCCATGCAAAACCCTTTCCCACTGTCTGAGAAGCTGGCAGAGATACCCAAACCCCATGGTCATAGAATCATAGAATGACTTGGGTTGGAAGGGACCTTAAAGATCACCTAGTTCAAACCCCCGTCCATGGGCAGGGACACCTTCCACTAGATCAGCTTGCTCAAACCCAACCTTGAACACTCCCAGGGATGGGACAACCATGGCTTCCCTGGGCAACCTGTGCCACTGTCTCAGCATCCTCACAGAAGAATTTCTTCCTAATAGCTAATGCAAACCTGTCTTCTTTCAGTGTGAAGCCATACCAATTGTCCTATCACTACATGCCCTTGCAAAAAGTCCCTCCTAAGCTCTCTTGTAGCCTTCCTTTACTGGAAAGGGCTCTAAGGTCTCCCCAGAACCTTCTCCAGGCTGAACAGACACATCTCTCAGCCTGTCTCCATAGCAGAGACACTCCAGCCCTCTGAGCATCTTCGTAGTCTCCTCAGGACTTGTTCCAGCATGATCCTTGCGCACTCTCCTGTGAGATAGCAGGACACAGCCCAGGACAGCTCGGGCAGGACACCTGGGGAAGGCGAGAGACACCAGCTGAGCCAGCTCTGCGCCCGCCACGGCAAGGGCACTGATGTATTGGTGCGTGTCCACAGAAGGGAACGGAGCTGGGAACAGCACAGGTGTGATGAGGAGAGGCTGAGGGAGCTGCAGAAAAGGAGGCTCAGGGGGGACCTTATCTCTCTCTACAACTTCCTGAAAGGTTGCAGACAGGTGGGGGTCAGTCTCTTCTCCCAGGTAACGAGTGACAGGACAAGAAGAAATGGCTGCTAGGGAAGGTTTAGATTGAAATTTCTTCACCAAAAGCATTACCAAGCGTTGGAATAGGCTGCCTAGGGAAGTGGTGGAGTCATCATCCCTGGAGGTATTAAAGGACATGGAGATGTGCCACTTAAGGACATGGTTAGTGGTGGGCTTGGCAGTGCTGGGTTAATAGTTGGACTCAATGATCTTAGAAATCTTTTCCAACCCAAATGACTGTATAATTCTATAACTTATCCCAAGGAAAAAACTAAAAAGACCATGAAAAGGGTATGAGTTAGAAGAAATTATCCCAGCTTATCTGTAGATTGTGTTGTATGCTTTACCTTGTTTTTCTAACAGGAAAGTACTAAGAAAATTACACGCTCCATGTGTGACTACCTGTCAGCCCCATGTCTTCTCAAAAGCATTGAAATCTGTCAGCTGCTGAGGACTAAAAGCCTTAGAGAGTTCTTGTTGTGAGTTCACAAGTATTAAAGGTTGGCAGAGCTTGTTAGAGCTACCACAGAGGGAGGGAGAGGCAGAACATGCCCATCCCAGCCCTGGTGAGCCCCAGACAGACCTTCATCACCTCTATGATTCTGTCCTCTCCACAGCACATCCAGTTTCTTACCAGCTGCTGATGACAAGGTGGGTGAGGGAGCTTACATCAGCAGAAAGCACTGTGTGCACAGAGCAGGGAGTTTTAGGGAGGCCCTAATCTTGAGGAAGACTGTGGAAACTCAGATGATTGGAAATGAAAGACATTTAGAGGGTACAGGACACAAGCCTATAATAAATTATCTAATTTCTTTTGCTCATGGATTTAATGATCCAGTTGAGGTCATAGGTGCTAGAAGGTAACATGTAATTGGATACACCTTACATACTGGGCACTTAGCATGGTGAGATTATTGATTCTTGGCTAACTTGACCTTTCCAAAACTCATCTGTTTCCTGAACATGTTTCCTGGGACAGTGTAAGTAGTAAATATGCAGACAGGCTGCTGAGCCATGAAAACTGCAGAGATCAGAGCCTAACTGACTTCATGGTCCAAATAAAAGGTATCAGAATACACACCTGTACACCTCAGTTCTGGGGCATGTGGATTTTCACTGCTCATTGTAGTGTGGATAAAATGGCTCTGGACTCTTTGCATTGTTCATATCAAAGGCTTCTGAAGTTTTTTAGGAATGAAAGGTAAAATGCAGACTTGAAGCACATGTAAGAGTTCAGCAACTGTCACAATCACAAAACTCTAAGCAGGGAGTGTGAGAGAAGTCAGGTCTGTGCTTGACAGACTTGTGTGTCACAGTCCCATCCTTTATTATTTTTCCTGCACTGGAATAAATCAGAGGAAGATGCCAAGCCAGTGGCTGTACTCCATCCAGTGCTATAAAATATGAGTAAGGAAGAGATCCCATCCTTTCCAGATATTAGGTGAACCTGGTATGGTTTTGTCTCAATGTGTTTTACCTTAGTGCCTTGGAGTTAAGCAGCAGGGAAGTAGATGAGTGACAGCAATCATCAGGAAACAGGCCCTTGACAGCCTGGACTTCAGGAAGAGGGTGCGAATGAAGGGGTTTGGATGAGAGAAAAATTGGGCTAGCTGCCCAAAATTCTAGACTCATGAAGGGAGGAATCTGTTGGTGAGCCCACTGCCCACATTTGCCTATGCCAAAGACTTAGTTCTTGCTGCTGAGAGTGGGTGGGAGGAGTATTGTGTTGTTGCTGCCACATATTTCCCTTTCTTCCTTCCTTAAGCTCTGCCCCTTTGTCTTCTCTCCCCATTTTATCTTGATCTGTGTCTATACAAGTGAAGCCTTGGCCCCAAATTGTTAGGACTGGCACAATTAATTTCTTAACTGCTTCTCTTTGATGAATTGTCATGATTTTTATAACACTGGCAAGGACTTTGCCTTTGAAGATTCACCCAAAGATAGCCCTTTGGTGCCAGACAGTTTGGCATCCTGATTTCTTACTCACATACAGTCAAGATCCAGGTTTAGCTAAACTGGCAGGCATGGTGAAAACTCAGAGATGAAATGTCTGCTGAGATGAGGTGTGGTGAGACTGGGACTGTGCTTCTTACAGGGACTCATACATTACAGTTTATGTAAAGCCTGTTCTAACTCAGTGGGAGTGGATAGTTCTGCAGCAGGTCAATATTGCACAAGCTACTTCCAGAGTGAGTTAGACCAAATGGCCACCTAAAGGCAGTGGCTGGAATAATGTGCGAAGGTTGAGTTTTCAGGTTTCCACTAGCCATGCAGTTTAAAGAGATTCTGGATTTTCAGATATTTCTTAATCTCTAAGTGTGTTCTAGTTCTAGCATTATTATCTACATCTTGAAGCAAAAAGCAATTGTTTTCAGTATAAATACTACATTTGATTGCTTCTTGATTATTGTCTTCAGTGATATCACTACCTGCCCATGCCAAACTGTCAGACATGCCTCTGAAACTGTAGGCAATAGTTTCACATCCTGATGCATCCCAAAGTTCTGGGAACAGGTTCACCACTGGTAAATGTAGGCCTGATTCCCTGACAACCAAAGAGGACTGTATCACCTGACTGCAGACCTGATATTGGCCTCAAATCTAAATCTTCATGATTCCATCTATCACATTTTATACCGAGTTTTGCAATATTTGTGTGTGTTATAAATACTTTGCAGGCTCTCTCAGCCCTCTGCTTAAAACAGGAGTCTTGCCTTTAAAGGTATCCAGGCTTGGAAATAACTGGTTCCACAAATGTAGTGTTAGAGCAATAATTTATATAAAACCTTTCATCCTGCCTGGCATGTGGTGATTTATATTCACTGCAGAGTTGATTCTCTGAGCCCTCCAACTGGAATTCTCTTCTGAGAGGAGACACAAACATACAGACTTTACACAAGACACTCCTTGCATACTTAACACTACAATGCATTGAATCAACACTGTCATCTCTGTGGTAGAGGGCAGCAATCATCTCTGTCTTACCACATTACTTATCAAGGGAAAGACAAATATTGTTAAGGTTATAAAGCTTCCTTTTCTTCAAAAAAGTGCCACATGGAGCTTTCAGTACATTCCATCTGAAAGAAGACCACACAGGAGTCATCATGGTCTTCATTTTAGCTAAGTCAAAAGCAAAGATCTGAAATGGATCTTCTCAGTTGTGAATTTTTGGTTCCAGAAAGTCTTAAATAGAAAGTGGAGACCACTATAGCCTATGGCCTTCCCAGACTCTTAGTACGAGGGCAGGAGAGAAGCTATGAGGTACTTGTGTATCTACATTGGCCTTTGGGATCATTCAGAGAGCTAATAAGGGAAATGCCAAAACCACTGGACAACAGCTGTGTATAGCACTGCAATTCATGGCTCAGTACTGCATAGAGCTAAGCACCCACTTAAGGGCTGAGAATTCTTCATTCCCAATGTCCTTTCTTGCACTTGAAGGCCTTCAAATCGTTGTCATCTCTTCTGGGATTGGCAGACCCTGTAAAATTCCACCTCTCACAGCTTTCCTGCCTTACATGTTAATCAGAAATGATTATTCCAGAAGAATGCACCAAGGCACAGTCTAATCAAAATGAAGCACTCCACTTCTCGATGACCCACATGAACTTTTTGTGTGTCTCTTGGAAAGGGCAGAGGTCCTTTCAGAGTTATGCAATTTAACATTTGCAGTGCTTCAGTTAAGCAAAGAATATGCCTTGGAAGTGTTTTCAGAGGAAGAAGTGGATGGCTCTGAAGAAGATACTCTGTATTTTCCTGCAAAACAAAGCACAGTAGTTAGAGACAAGGACAGATAGACTGGGATATGTTTGCACTGCAAAGGAAGGACAGTTACACCTGTGCTGATGACCCAGGTGGCTTTGACTGGCCCTGCAGCTGTGACACTAACTGGATTACTGCAATACCAGCAACCAGAGAACTCATAGCCAGGATATGTCAGCATAGGGTAGTGATTTGCTCACACAAATGGAGGGAATTAGTGGCTTCCCTTGAGCACAGGGATGCATCTAGAACACAGGCTCTTGAGATGAATCCCAGCTCCCTACCTCTTGAGACCATGAGGCTCTAAACCAAGAGCCATGTGCATGGAGTTGGAGAGCAGAATGAGGAGGCATGCTAATAATAGGGGAGTTTCAGGTGGCAGCAGAATGGGAGGCAGCTGTGGACAAGTCTCAGTCACATCTGGAGGGTGGCTTCTGTGTCTGTGTAGTGTACTTGTGTTTCATTGTGCCATTATTTGACTAATAAACAGGCTTTTAAAAACGTAATTGCTTGCCTACATTAAACTCCTTCACATCCCACTTTGACTGAACGTCACCATCTTCTCTGAGCAATGTTGGGATGCAAAGATTACACACTTAGGAATGAAATTATATTTTCTGCTATGCTTTTTGCAAAATTAAGTCACATCTGAATGGTGATGTCCACAGAATGGCAGCCAGAGAACCTTTGAAGCTGCAAGGTGGTGAACAGTACATGAATAGTGAATGAATTGAGGAGCACTGTGTCATGATCTCATTAAGCTCAAAACAAAGCTCAGTTAGAGGGTTTTACAACTGGTGAAACATGCTGCTAGCATTATGCTACAATTGACTTATTACAGTTCTTTAACATTAGAAGATAAAATACCATCTATGGCTGCATGGATAGACAATCGGATTAATAGATCTCAGGATCGACAGACCCCATCAGTGAGAATGCAGGCAAAACCTTGTTTGTGCTTCAGTAAGGGAGATCACATACCTGTTTTCCCACATAAGTTGTTAAAGGTTCTTGAAAATGGGTAGCTCATAGCAAGCATTGGTGTCACCAGGATCAGGGAGGATGACTGTAAGAGAGAAAATTGCTTTTTATCAAAAGCCTAAACTTTCTTCATAGTCACATCGGGGCGGGGAGGGGGATGGAAAGGGTTCTAACCATAGAATCACAGAATCACCTGGGTTGGAAGAGACCTCAAAGATCATCAGTAGTACAAGCAAGCAATCCACCGAGGGACAAGTTAGATGTTTGTGAGGCATCACATTCACACATTTGCATGTTTATATTGGCGATGAAAGATACCAACTTTAAAAGAAACTACAGGACACAAACAGCTTGTGTCTAACTGTTGGCCAGGGAAGATGGCTTAGGCTCCGGAGTCAGCCATATCAGGCAGTATGGGATTCTGGTCCCTTATCTGAGGGACTATAACCATTAGGGTAGTCAGAAAAGCGAAGATTTATGTGCTGGGGATTGTCCTTGATGGCCAGTACCCTGAGACATTCCGAGGCAAATTTAACTTGACACGCTAGAGGGCATTGGAACACAACTCTACAGACCAGATGGGAAGGAAGGAACTTTCTGCAGCTAAAATGAAGTTTGAAGTTTGGAGTGGTTTGAGAATTTAATGGGATTCCTCCAAAATATGTGTTAAGAAAAGGTATGGAAAACACATCTTTTTCTGTTCAGTCCCTCTTCCTTTCTTCTTGGAGGGGAAAATTAGGCAGTGTTGTGTATTGTCACCTATATGGTAAGGTGGTTGAGGAAGAAGGTAAATGAATTGTATATAAAAAATTTCATCACAGATGTTGATATTGGTTTATTTATTCCCTATCAGACTTCAACAGGCTGGAGAAATGGGATGGCAAGAATCTTAGGATATTCCGCAAAGTCCCCCTGTCCCTGGGGAGGAACAAACCCACATACCAGGATCTGCTGGGGGCTGGCTGACTGGAACAGAGCAAAGACAGAGCCAAACTTTTCTCCTTGGTGCCCAGTGAAAGGACAAGAGGCATTGAAAACCAACAGAAATACAGGAAATCCCACTTAAGAGGAAACATTTTCACTGTGAGGGTGGTCAAACACAGGAAAAGGCTGCACAGAGAGATTGTGGAGTCTCCATTCTTGAAGCTACTCAAACCCCAACTGGACACAGCTCTGAGCTCTAGCTGACCATGCTCTCATGAGAGGGTGGTACTAGATGTTCTCTGGAGGTACTATCCAACTTCAGCAATTCTTGTGGAAGCTGGAGTGATTTAATCCAATGCTCCTCTTCTGAACTGACAGTTCAGCCTTAATAGGCTCCTTAATTCCTCGGAGCCAATCTATGTACTCATCTTAATTAACCTGGCTTTCAAGCTGGCTTCCTAGTTCTTTAGCAATATCTGTACAATATCTTCTGAATAAACCCTGTTCAGATACCAATATGAAATTAACCTTTATTGTCATATAAGAATGATAGTATCATGGGCAGGGTGGAGGTTGGGGGCAGGGGTTGGAACTAGATGATCCTTAAGGTCCCTTCCAACCCAACCCATTCTATGATTCTTACATATCCTGGCATATGCAGCCATTCTGTGATAGAGGTATTTTATTGTTGTTGGCTGAAATTTTCTACATTGTGTGTCTGGGAATGTGGCTCCTCTTGTGCAGAAGTGAAGATGCACACATTTTTGGCATCAGCA